GGCCGGGTTCGCCGATGGCCGCCCCGCTTGTTGCTGGTGGCGTGCCTCGTCCTCGCTTCCGGTCCGGACGTTCTCTGTCCTCTGCTCCTGCTCGTCTTGTTGCCGCCTTATGTCGGCCAGTCGTTGTTGTACCCTCATCTCCACCGACTCGTTGATGCAGGCGTCCTCGTCTTCTGCGTTACGGGCGCCTCGTTCTTGGTCGGCGCTGAACATCGGTGACAGCTGCTGATCGCCGCAAAGCGNAACATCTGTGACAGCTGCTGATCGCCGCAAAGCGATACTCCAAACTAAGCTCGACGCGAATCTCGTAGACGACGTGTCATACGCTAGCGTGATCGATTATTCGGGTGGCTCAGTTGTGTGTGATGGGAGTGTAGAGCAGCTCGGCGATCACGGGCCGTAGGGGAAGGTAAAGTCGTACAGACGTGTTGGAAAACGTGTTGTAAACGTGTTGTATACATCGGGGGCGTGCTTGAGCTCGTCATTCCATCACGGCATCAAGTCACGCATAACGCTCAAACGCCCAAAACGAATCTCCATGAATGTCCACCAATCTACCACACTCCCAAGGAAAACATAAAGAAACTTCTTGTTCCTCCGTAGTTCGTCACTGCAATACCCGCATATGTATACGCAATATACCACCCCCATGCTATGCTACGAGTATATCAAATAGCTACTGCTGTGTTGTTGAACGGTTTGTATTTGTAAGCGGACTCAAACGAGGTGAAGTCGTCCTTCGTCCCCTCCGTTGGTCCCCTACAAGTTTGATATACCAATCGAACCAATGGTCTAGAAAGAACAGAACGTCGATGTTCGAAATTATTTGCATTTATTGCAGCGTTGTTCTGCTGTACGCCTCATGCAACCACAATATCATCGTAATTGTGTCCATGGAGTCTCCATGGTTGTTCATCTGCTTGCGTTTCAGGTCGCAGTCTATAGATGTGGAGCGTGATGTGATCGACGGCGTTCAAGGGGCTATAAATCCTCATCAGCGGGAAACAGACGAGGGTAGGCTGGGTCAGGGTTGCGGTGCGCTCCCCGTGTGTTGAGGGGCATTTCTGTGTTGTAGTCTCACAATGACTAGACTAGACTGTTGTTGTCTGTTGTCATTCTTGTTGCGTTACGTCGTTCCTGCTGTAGTGAAGCTCTCGTTTCCAAAACCCCAAAGTAGCTGCCGAACAGCGTGAAACTCACCGCTGGGATGTCTGGAATGAGGAACTGCTGTATGTACTACAGGCAAACACGTTAGCGACTGCGGCCGAATAGTCTACAACGCAAACGGGTGGATTCATGTATCCCTGTTATGACATAACGGGGTGGTGTGCGAGCCAAAGCAGGTGGTGATCAAGGCATAACTGGGGCATGGTATCTGCCCCAGGCTATGCGGGTCTACCACACTTCCTACAGTTTTGCAAAAACGCCCATGGGCACCATGTTGGGCCTAAGGGCGGCCAACGAGAGCCCTTCAACCGGAACCAATGTACTCCTAAACAATCGACTATCTGCTTTGGAACAGGCAATACAACAGCTAGTAACCCTAACCCTAACCTCAAGCTCACACGAAATGGGATAGGTTGGTGCTGGGTGGCTAAGTTCCAGGTTGATATGCCGGTGGTGAAGTTCTAGGTTGAAGTGCCCATGGCGGGCCGGCACTTCATGGGCACTTCATGGGTACTTCGTGGGCGCCCATGGGCCCACCCATGGTGACCCATGGGCGGTTTGGTAGTGAGGGAGGTCGGGTAAGTTGGCTCCTCTATCCCAAGGAGGGGGACAAACGTTTGTGTGAGAACGAGCAACACGCAGCAGGCAGTCCTGCTCATAAGCCTAGGCTGACGACATGAACGTGTATTTTTTCAAACGACTACATGAGTACCGTGATTTGGCCCCACCGGGCTGTGCCTCATGCCGTACATCCCACAGTATAATACCCCGCGCCGACGCCGCTCACTCAATCAATTGCGATTCACGTTTTCTGCCCACCCTTTGATCGTCGTCCCAGGTATCACTGCCTTTGTTGTTGGTTGTGATGCTCAAATTTGTTTTCCATTTTGTGTGCCCGTATTTGATCTTCTCCAATATCCTCCTCCCGTCCACTCACCGATCTGTCGCTTGGTGGATCTCTCGCTTCGAAGGCGCTACTGCTTCGAGAGCCATACTCAGCCGGTCTGCTTGCGACGGGGAGACTGAACCTGGACACGGTTGCTTGAACGGCACACCATTGTGTAGAACATGGTGAGTCTCGCATGCAGGTTCCAAGAGATGGCACGCCGCTTTCAAGAAATGTAGCTTGCTCCATAAATATCTTGCACGGATTTACAGCACATCCATGCCGTGTTTGGTTTTGGACATGGTCACGGTGCGGTGGCGTGCGGCTTTGGGCATGTGGTGAGGTGATCTTATCTCGAAAGATGACGGTGGTGCACCGCACAGAACCACACCGTCGAAAATAAACGCGCGGTGAATGTCGCCGCTATTTTCGGGTACAGGTCTCTTAATCGTCGGCCGACAAGAATGAAACACATTTTTTGGAGTGTGGCCAACTGGTTTGATGCGATACGTTTCAAATCCCATGTTAACTCCAACAGTATCCAACCCGTTTTTCCTACGTTCCTTTCGCCTTTGTGATCATTCTCCGGGGTAGATAATTTGTCCTGAATGCCTAGGCTCATCGCGACACTGCTAGTACTCGCGTAGGCCAGGCCTCCGACCTGTCTGTCGAGCCGAGGCACCAGACGCACCGTCGCCACCGACTGAGTAGAGGTGAGGGCCGATACTGGAACGACCCACGACAACATTTATTTGCGCCTTGCCCTTGGTTTTGGAAACCGACGAGAAACGACCGCGCTTGGCTTCCGCGACGTGACCATCTCGACACCACATCCACTGTCGCGATCATTGGTCGGGTTCGGACATGTGATGTCCCTCTCCTTGTCGTCCTTGTACAGTACTACAGCATGAACATAAGTACCACCGGCCTCTCCATTTTGACGCCCCCCCACAGTGACTGTGGCTAGTACGAATGTATGGGGAATGGAAAGGCCCGAATAACCACTAATAACCACGGACCCCGACTAGGGGTCAAGGGACACAATCTTGCTGTATTTTGTTCCTGGTTTATTTTTTTATTGTCCGGTGTCACCGTCGAAAAGGAGCGTTGGGCTTCATGTAGTTCAGTATATACGTAGAAAATGTATCGATATGTCCTTTACCCCTGGTAAAAGCAACCGTGTCTCGGTAGGGAAGGCCCTAAGCAAAGACCGTGGGGGATAGTTACTGTGAAGGCAAAGACAATGGCTCAGAACTACTCGGCTGTCGAGAATTCCCCAGTTGACACGTCGAGTGTCGCTTGGCGATTCACCCTTCCGTCCCTTTTGACGTGAAGGGCTATATACTGATTGTCGTTCTAGAGTGTTCTCTTTTGACCGCGAGGCCTCTGATACCGTGTGCTGGAGCTGATTCCGATGCGAGACGCCTTGCGGTGGGGTGTCACGTGGAAATACTTACTCGAGAAGTGTCGTGTTGTCTTTTTGGTAATCGGCGAATGTGTCGTACAGATCTTCCTAACGAGTGCCTTGTGGGATACTGGGCTAACTGCCTGCTGTTGATTTTCACTTAGATTTCGCGCCTTGGGTTCGTGATATTGCTTCCATGGGAGATCGACGTGCTAAGGTGGGTGTAAACGTGTTGCGCAACATGTTTGATCGCGTATATGCTGTTGTTGATTTCTTTCCGGTAATGTAAACTCCAAGATATGGTGCGAGGACGGATCACGCGAGCCTCGCTGCTCCTCGTGAATATCTTAGCAACAACAACAACAACAGTATAAAGGCGCAACAACCGTGAAGCCGCTGCAAATAGTTAGACCTACCGCGTTTGACCGTAAACGGTCTATCTTCATGAAATGCACTGTTTGTTACCTATGAACAGTCAGGACACGGAGACTATTCAACGGTATCCCACTTGTACGCACTTTCTTTGATTGTGTATCCTACAATGACAAGTATCGGGAACTTTTTGACAAATGGATAAGCTTCCATGGAAGAAGTCGAAGTTGACTTCCATGGGAGTGGTTCACTGCTTCCATGGAAGTGGTTACCCCATACCATGAAAGGGGGTGCCCGTTCCATGAAAGTCACTTTCGCTTCCATGGAGTTTTATGGATTCCATGGAAGTGTCATGGCTTCCATGGAACGAGCTGGTCTGTTTCAGGCTGCAGTTTTAATGATGCTTCCATGGAAGCGGTACACAACTTCCACGGAAGCGTCCGGACATACATGTGGTCATTCCAGCTTCACTACCCTGCCCTAACCCTAACGCTAACGCTAACGCTAACCCTACTCCAAAGAAACTTCGAACGAAGCGTCTGGACATACATGTCGTCATTCCAGCTTCCCTACCCCAGCCCAAACCCTAACCCTCACCCTAGCCCTTACTCTACCACCGAGAAGACCACGGAAGCTAACCCGAGGCTGAATACTTCCATGGAAGCAGACCTAAATCTGTCTTGAATAGCTTCCATGGAAGGCTAAGGTTCGACTTCCATGGAAGCTATTCCACTCCCATGGGCTTGCCATGGGACGTCCATGGAAGTTGTGAAAGTTAAACTCCATGGAAGTGGCACATCCATGTGTCATATCTTTTGTTCCATGAATGTGAATATCGCTCCTATGCCAGTGTCGTTTTGCGCTTTCATGGGAGTTCGAAACCTGTAGTTTCCATGGAAGTGGTATCAGCTTCCAGCAGGTAGATCCAACACTGAAACGATGGTGCGAACAAGCCTCATGGAGGTCAGGCGCGGATACATGGAGTGCAGTGGTACCATGCCCTCGGTTAGAGACTGGCCAATGGTTTCCTCTCTACAGCAAATAGTAACTGCAGTAGAGTTCGTTGAAAATAAGGAGGGGAAAAAATCTCGGAGTTGTTTTGGTTCTGTCATGTGGTTCTGTTTGCACTCTCTTCAAATGCGTATTCTACATACAAAATAATTCCGAGATCATTTCGATATCCTTTCTTGAGCAGTGGCCATTATCGGGCACACCCGGTCCAACCACGGCCATGATCGGGTACCCCTACAAGACGCCACTGCTGGGAGCGACCGCATGATACCATCTGATTGGCTGACGCCCGCCCCTACCCGACCTTGACCGTCTTTCCACCGGGTGCACCGGATCTTGGCTATTCACCCCCCGGAGGGGTACCCGATTTCTATTTCCCCTACCCGAAAATGGCTGGGCTGTTCACCCATGCGCACAAGCACACGTCAGCAATGCCCTGCCCTCGAATTCGGACGTTCCGACGGCGGGCGGAGGGGGACCCACCCCCGGCGGTGCAACTCTCGTTTGGGGAAACGGCGGGCTGTCGGTGCAAATGATCCTGAAGGAGAGCTGTGGATGACATTTACGAGATGCGCCACACACGACGCATCTATAAAATAGGCAGCTTCTTCTGCTTCCCGCCGCTTTCTCGTTGGCGACAAACGAGCGGCCGGTGTCGTGCTTGCCTGCGTGGGTTTTGGCTGCACAGCCCAGCCATTTTCGGGTAGGGGAAAGAAAAATCGGGTACCGGGGGGTGAGTAGCCAAGATCGGATGCACCCATGGAACGATGGTCGAGGTCGGGTAGGGGCGGGCGTCGGCCAACTAGATGGTGTCACACGGTCGCTGCCCGCAGGGTGCCCGACTATGGCCGTGGTTGGACAGGGTGTACCCGACATTGGCCACTGCTCTTATTTTTTTTAAGGTATGCGGCTTGGTGTTTTTGTTGCGCTACCCGCAAAGAGAGAGAAAGGGGAAGAGGATCTTTCGCACATGGTATGCATATCGTTTTGGGTTACAGTCGTGGGCCCAGTTTAGCGGTCCATAGTTGTCATGAAATTTTATCACCGCTATTCAGGGTATCGCCGCTAAGCCTCTTTAGCCCTAAACCGGGATGCTCCACAGCGTTCTTTTTTACGGACCGCTCAACCGGGAAAATCCCATTTTTTCCCCACAAGAGAAGCGTCGGAAGCTGATCTTCACAGGACCATGCATGTCCCTCATTGAAGCCGTCATATCAAGGTGCGGAAGAACAAGTAACCCCCCGAAGGAAGAGAACACAGCCAGTACGTTTAGTGCATTTCAATTCACGAAAGCACAAAGAAAGGTTGTTCTCCATTCTGGACTGTATGTCCCTCATAAGGACTGGAAAATCGTGCGCGTCTGTAAACGAACGTGGAGCAAACTCGTGACAACGCAATGGCAACCAATCACGTGCGTGAGCATCTCATTTCTGCTACTTGGTGGTGTGTATCGATCATTCCTAACCCAACGTCTCTCTGATATCTGCCTGGCGTTCTGGTTGAGCGGTGTGCCCTGCGAGGGATGTCATTTTTGCCCTGCCAAGATAGCCTGCTGCCTCGCTCACGCCACACGACTCCGTGCACTCTGCAAGCTTGCCAACATGCATGCGCCGATAGCTCCGAGTATGGCGGCGGCGCCATCACCCCCCTGCCCTTCGCACCGTCAATTTCGGCCGTGCTATCTAGCTCTAGCTCTAGCTCTAGCTCGTCGTCGGAGGGGTTACTCTCCTCCATGTACCTGCTGGACAACTTCTCAACGAGCTCGTCATTCGTATCCATCCTTTTGCAACGCCTCGGTGTGGTGTTTGTGTGTCTCGCAGTGTGCTTTGTACTTTGAGCCGGTTAAAGAGTGTCGCTGTCCGCTGTGACTGTGTGCAAGCGAAGCGCGCGCGGGGTCTCTGCAAGATTGAACCGATAACCGCTCTTGGTGGCTGCAAACATGTCCAACAACCGCTACTGTAAAGCCGCTAGACCGGGGTGCAGCGGTGTCACGAGATTAATGATCGCTTTTCAGGGCATCCCGCTGAACAGGGAACCGCTAACCCGGGCCCACGAGTGTGTCTCCGTTTACAATGTGGGCTACTGGAACCCACTCCCTAGGGGTAAGCCCTGACCGATCAGTCACGCCGAAAGCCTGCTCGGTCAAGCGCAGCGAGGTACGCCCCAGGAGAAAACATCTGGGCTCAGGCTCAAAGATTTGGTAAGGCACTTGCCTGATATATAATTCCGTGCCTGAGAGGCCTGAATTTTTTGTCTAGGCGTGTGCCTGAGATACTGTAGAACCTGCACTATTTTTGTTCAAGATATTTTCTCACGAGCAGAGACGGGTGATGCGGGGGTTATCGTCGTGGCTCTTCTGCGTGTCCTGCCTGGAGGGAGCTGCCTGGGTTTTTGTAGGAGTCAGGCGATTTCTCAGGCAACAACAAATCATGCCTGAGATGCCTGAGAGGGTTGAACAGGAAAATGACGGTGACAGTCGGAGAAATACCCAAACATGGTACGCGCCAGAAGAACTCACACAGCCCCGCAGCCACAACTGCCGATCAACACATACCCGCGAAGTCGATCCTCATTCGTCCAAAAACAATCCGGCAAAATGACGGCGACAGTCGGAGAAATACCCAACATGAAACGCGAACTCTCGCCGCCCTGCACCATCGATCTGGAATGGATGACTCATTCGTCCAAACACTATCCGGCAAAGTGACGGCGAGTGTCGCACAAAAACCCAACACGACAAGCGTCCGAGTAACGGCAAACACCGCCGATCTGTAACACATGCACCACCCGTCGCCCCGACAGCAGAAGCCGGTGAGAACAGGGATCTCCAATTCTGTGCCTTACTCGTCCTTCATCATGGATTACCATCATACGTAGTTGCAACACACCAAGAAGTTATCGATACGCCGAAAGTCACTAAATCTTCCTTGGCATGTTACGCTCCAGCGAAAGCTGGCTACAACAATATCAGTCGCGGCCAAGGATGGCCAACTCGTCAAACTCCGCCTTGGCCGTCGCGAGATCGTCCGGGTTGATTCGTCCCTCATCCAGCTCCTTCTGCTTACGCGCCATGTCCTCGGAAATTTCCCTAACCCTAGCTTCGGCGTTTTGCTTCTCCCTCCGGTACCCGGGGCTTTTCGACGCGAGATCCACAACCGCATGACCCAGCGCGGCAGCCAGTCCAAGAAAACTTGTAGCCAGTCTAGCAATNTTCCCTAACCCTAGCTTCGGCGTTTTTCTTCTCCCTCCGGTACCCGGGGCTTTTCGACGCGAGATCCACAACCGCATGACCCAGCGCGGCAGCC